ATATTAGTACTTTATTAATTAGAGAATATTTAGATTAACCTTGCTAAAAAGCACAAATAGGTATTGAAACTTTGTTAGTAATGTATTATTTATCTTTATGTGTTTTATATGAACTGATTATAATTTGTGAACACACTTTTAAGTTAATATAATTACAAAATATGTTTTGCCTTTATAATCCCTTTATTAAGATATTTGATTTTTTCTATAATAAAATAATTATGTAAATAGAATTTTTAAATGGTTAATACTCTATATAAATATATAATTAATAGATAAAGGAATGTCCTGTTTAGGTTTCCTGTGAATAAAAACTGATTAGAACACTGATGCAACAATCCCACTTGATTCTAATCACCTTTATATACAGTTGATAAGAAGAAATCATTATTAACAAAGTCATTATTTTATATGCCGAGGTCAGTTACTATTTCCATAATAGTGTTGGACTTTTTGTGAAATGGTATATCTACTCTTGTACAAATAAAATGTTAAGATTTACCAGCAACCAACTATTACTTGGTCTGTCTTAAAAATAAATTATTATAAATAACTGTATAGTTTATTATTTGTTCCTAATGTGGCATTAAACAAATTGTAATTGTAGCAGATCTGTTTTTGACAACTTCTTATCCTTATTTATTTACTTTTGCAATAAAATACTACATAATCAATAATATATCAATAATAGTTTCTAATATTTTAAGTCATTTTAATGCAGTAAATGACTTTTCTGTTTACTATAATTATGAAAAATATAACTTTTAAATTGTATTTGAAGAAGTTTAATAGTAAAAGGAAATATGAGTAGACAACATTTATTAGGGTTACATTTTATTTGGTTTTTCAGATACAAAATGTTTGCTTTGCGGCCATGTTAATAATTTCTTCTCTATTTTTTGACTTCGAACTACATTAAAGACCTTCACTATAATTCTCCATCTATTATTACATGATCTCTTTAGGGTTATCTGGTAAATTAATGTTTGATAAGAATTCACCAAACTTGGCAAATAGAAATTTAAATTAGGTGTATTAATGAACCAACATGAAGTTGTCTAGATTCAATAATGAGCGAAGAGTCATATGATTTTATAATATTAATTTATTCTTTTTTATCTCCATTGCAGTACTTCTTTGAAATGAAATTGATGTAGGTTGGTACATAAAAGAGGTAATTTTTTGATTTTATTAGGAGTTAATGTATACGAAAAACACGGAACTATTTATGCATGTGTAGTAGAATACCTCAAAAAAAATCTGACAGGGTGTCAATTTTTGGATGTTTCCAAAGAAGTCCAAACGCTATAAATAGGCCTCAAAATTATCGTTTCGGCACAATGCATACTCCATGCAAGTATATATAGTTGTTTTTTTCTGGCATTTGCACAGAAAAAAATGAGTTAACACTAATTTTTGTAAAGGCTTCCCTTCCGGGAGGCCGCGCAATCATTCGATAACACTTCGAATTCCCATTCACCGCGGTTATGTACATTGGTAAAAAATCATGATCCGGGGTGAGGAGATTAGTTGCACTTATAAGTTATAAGTAATTTTGATGTAGCTTATTATACTATACAGTTAATTTGTAATGTATTATTTGTACTTATGTATTGTACATTAACTGTTTATAATTTTTTAACACACTTTTAAGTTAAAATATTTACAAAATATATTTTTCAATTTTAATCCTTTTATGTTCATATTTAATTTTTTCGCTAAATGACAATAAAAAAATACATTTATATTATACCTTCCATTTTTAAATTTGTTTTATAATAAAATAATAATGTAAAAACAAAATTATTAAAGGGTTAATACTCTAAATAAATATATAGATAAATAGAAAATGGAATGACCTGTGCAGGTTTTCTGTGAATAAAAACTGATTAGAACACTGATGCAACCAAAAACAATACACAAGATTATCATGATGAAATGAACGGTGATAATTTTTATGAATTACAATTTTGCCGTTGTTGAACGACAATGCCTTAATCGTCATGGATAATGCGTCATATCATTCGGTGAAGAAGGACCCTTGCCCCAATATGTCTTGGAAAAAAAGAGATATTATCAACTGGATTGAAAGTAAAGGTGATCAAAATAATGTCAAGTCATAATTATTGGAACAAGTAGAAGTTTTAAAGCCTCAGTATGAACAATGTGTAATTGATGAATTAGCGAAGGTTGCTAATAAAATTGAATCATTTGACTATAAATGTTTGTATATATTTTTTAAATATGACTAATTTCTAATCAATTATGAGAATTTATACAATTTTAATTTATGATTTCTACTATTATTTTATTATTTGTATTTTAAATTTAACTACCTCTGGAAAAAATATAATAAATACAGTAAAATACAATATTTGCATTTTTATTTTATTTTAAATTGGTCATTTTTCATGGAAATAATTTATTTTAAAAATATTATTATTTAAAATGAGTTATTACTAGACATAATTATGTTAGGAAGTATAACTTATTTGATTATTATTCTCCAAAATATATTGATAGAAAATATTATTAAATAATTGTTCTTTGTTTCATTGTGTATTTGTAATTTTTCTTAACATGAATTAGTCTGTAGAATATTACATTTATTATTTTTGAGAATAAGAGTGATAGAATCAAATGGGATTGTTGCATCAGTGTTCTAATCAGTTTTTATTCACAGAAAACCTACACAGGACATTCCATTTTCTATTTATCTATATATTTATTTAGAGTATTAACCCTTTAATAATTTTGTTTTTACATTATTATTTTATTATAAAACAAATTTAAAAATGGAAGGTATAATATAAATGTATTTTTTTATTGTCATTTAGCGAAAAAATTAAATATGAACATAAAAGTATTAAAATTGAAAAATATATTTTACTTATAACTTATAAGCGCAACTAATCTCCTCACCCCGGATCATGGTTTTTTACCAATGTAGATAACCGCAGTTCCCCGGATGCATGGAAATTCGAAGTGTTATCGAATGATTGCGCGGCCTCCCGGAAGGGAAGCCTTTACAAAAATTAGTGTTAACTCATTTTTTTCTGTGCAAATGCCATAAAAAAACAACTATATATACTTGCACGGAGTATATATTGTGCCGAAACGATAATTTTGAGGCCTATTTATAGCGTTTGGACTTCTTAAAGTTGTGCAGTAGTCGTGTAAAATTGGTTCGCGTATCTGGGGGTTCTAGTCGTATTTTTCCGTTAACCGAGAGGTCAATAAATTCCGTGTCTATAAACCGGACGACAATAGGCCAAAGTTCTGGTCAGAGGTCCACCAGTGGCCACAAAAGTCGCGGTCGTCGAAGCAAGTTTTCTACTTAACGCTCTCTGCCGGCGCCATATACCGACAATGATTCGTACGACTTTCGCCACACCAGCGGCGTTGTCACGCGGTTTAGCACACTCTGGGCACAGAATAAAACATCGAATTTCTCACCCCTTAGTAGTGCCATTTTTCTGTTAATAGCTGATCATCGTTTAATCTGCTGTTTTCGCGAGAAAGTTCTGGCGTACAATGATCTGCGATTTGTATTATTTCATTGTCGTATTCCATCGTCAGTTTTTTAAACCAAAAAAACCTTACCGAATAAATTCACGTTGATAAAACTGTCCTAGGATTATGCTGATGGGTGCAACAACATTGTTAAGTTTAAAGTTGGGAAGGTAGGATACAGAATGGAATTTAATGCATATCTGTGTATGAAACCATAAACCATTGGTAACGAAAAAACGATTCTGACTGGAGTTAGGTTGATACTAATGCTTTGTCAACAATTTAATGTCATTAAATAAGAATTATATAATATTACTTTAATAATATACCTTTATAATTGGTACCGCATTTCATTTATTTTCCTACGTTTTGTTCCTTGTTTTTTCTTTTATTGACAAAAACTACTGGAAACATCCAAAAATTGACACCCTGTCAGATTTTTTTTGAGGTATTCTACTACACATGCATACATAGTTCCGTGTTTTTCGTATACATTAACTCCTCATAAAATCAAAAAATTACCTCTTTTAAGTACCAACCTACATCAATATCATTTCAAAGAAGTACTACAATGGAGATAAAAAAGAATAAATTAATATTATAAAATCATATGATTCTTCGCTCATTATTGAATCTAGACAACTTCATGTTGGTTCATTAATACACCTAATTTAAATTTCTATTTGCCAAGTTTGGTGAATTCTTATCAAACATTAATTTACCAGATAACCCTAAAGAGATCATGTAATAATAGATGGAGAATTATAGTGAAGGTCTTTAATGTAGTTCGAAGTCAAAAAATAGAGAAGAAATTATTAACATGGCCGCAAAGCAAACATTTTGTATCTGAAAAACCAAATAAAATGTAACCCTAATAAATGTTGTCTACTCATATTTCCTTTTACTATTAAACTTCTTCAAATACAATTTAAAAGTTATATTTTTCATAATTAAAGTAAACAGAAAAGTCATTTACTGCATTAAAATGACTTAAAATATTAGAAACTATTATTGATATATTATTGATTATGTAGTATTTTATTGCAAAAGTAAATAAATAAGGATAAGAAGTTGTCAAAAACAGATCTGCTACAATTACAATTTGTTTAATGCCACATTAGGAACAAATAATAAACTATAAAGTTATTTATAATAATTTATTTTTAAGACAGACCAAGTAATAGTTGGTTGCTGGTAAATCTTAACATTTTATTTGTACAAGAGTAGATATACCATTTCACAAAAAGTCCAACAATATTATGGAAATAGTAACTGACCTCGGCATATAAAAGAATGACTTTGTTAATAATGATTTCTTCTTATCAACTGTATATAAAGGTGATTAGAATCAAGTGGGATTGTTGCATCCGTGTTCTAATCAGTTTTTATTCACAGGAAACCTAAACAGGACATTCCTTTATCTATTAATTATATATTTAAATTGAGTATTAACCATTTAAAAATTATATTTACATAATTATTTTATTATAGAAAAAATGCATAAATATAAATATATTTTTTATTGTCATTCAATGAAAAAATCAAATATCTTAATAAAGGGATTATAAAGGCAAAACATATTTTGTAATTATATTAACTTAAAAGTGTGTTAACAAATTATAATCGGTTCATATAAAACACATAAAGATAAATAATACATTACTAACAATGTTTCAATACCTATTCGTGCTTTTTATCAAGGTTAATCTAAATATTCTCTAATTAATAAAGTACTAATATTATAATTATTTTTAAGCAAGAAAAANTCGCCACTATCCGAAATGTTACTATCTAAACGCATATTTGTTTCAGATAAACTATCTTTATCTGATTCTACAATTTTGCCAGTACTCGTAGAACAGGATTGTACATTATTTGTATTTTCTTCATCGATAGTTATATGTACAATTTGGTTTTCTACATTACTTATACCGTTTCCACCAAGATTATTTACAACTCTTTCAGTTTAATAAGCGTTTCTGCATATTTCCTTGGAATCGTCTAAACCTAGTGGTTTTCTTGTAAACGTGAAATTATCTATTTTCAATCGGGTTCTTGGGTTTAAGTATTCACGTACCTCCGGTTTCGATTGTAGTTTCTTGTTTTCTGGTGTACGGTAATATATATCAATTGCATTTCCATTGGTCCTATGTACTACTTCTCTTTTCCAGCCAAAATCAAATGGCCTATTTAACTTGGGATCCATTGACTATAGAAAGGCTGTATAGAATTCTTCTTTCAGATAGTCTATTGTCATATTAGCGGAAAGATTGATTTTCCTACTCTCCTATTTCTCATCAATTTTAAAGTCCCATCTCGATCCACTCGCGTCTATAAATTTCCTCGAAAATTCCCCTATCAAGCGTTTAATGCGGACCGCAAATAACAACCTCTTCTTTGTTTGAAAATTAAAATTATAAATAATTATGATATATATTTCTTCTTAATTCCTTTTTCCTTTATATATTGGTTTTTCGTTATCATCTTATCTTGTTTTATTTTTATATATTCTATAAACTTTTCTACTTTCGTTATTTTTATTTTTTTATTTGTTTGTTCAACTTGTCACCTAATTATAAGTTAAATCAATACTCATCATTTGTAATTGGACCTAGGTGTCTGTAATATATAATAAATAAATAATTTCATTAAACACCGTTGTATATTATCTATATGGCACATTGTGTTTCGAATGCAAATCAGGTTTCCGGCGCGAAACCCAGAGAGGAAGTCGTCATCGATGGTGTGTGTTCAATGGATCCCAGGTCCAAAAAGCCAATGGATCCCAAGTTAAATAGGCCATTTGATTTTGGCTGGAAAAGAGAAGTAGTACATAGGACCAATGGAAATGCAATTGATATATATTACCGTACACCAGATAAAAAGAAACTAAGATCGAAACCGGAAGTATGTGAATATTTAAAGCAAAGAACGCGACTGAAAATAGAGAATTTCATGTTTAAAAGAAAACCACTAGGTTTAGACGATTCCAAGGAAATATGCAGAAACGCTTATTAAACTGAAAGAGCTGAAAATAATCGTAGTGGAAATGGTATAAATAATGTAGAAAACCAAATTGTACATATAACTATTGATGAAGAAAATACAAATAATGTACAATCCTGTTCTACGAGTACTGGCAAAATTGTAGAATCAGATAAAGATAGTTTATCTGAAACAAATATGCGTTTAGATAGTAACATTTCGGATAGTGGCGANTTGAAAATAGATAATTTCACGTTTACAAGAAAACCACTAGGTTTAGACGATTCCAAGGAAATATGCAGAAACGCTTATTAAACTGAAAGAGTTGTAAATAATCTTGGTGGAAACGGTATAAGTAATGTAGAAAACCAAATTGTACATATAACTATCGATGAAGAAAATACAAATAATGTACAATCCTGTTCTACGAGTACTGGCAAAATTGTAGAATCAGATAAAGATAGTTTATCTGAAACAAATATGCCTTTAGATAGTGAAGGTCGGCGATTTCAGTTTAAAAAGAGAACAGACGAAGAAAACCAAGCTAAATTAGCCTTTGTTAATGATATAATAAATGATGAGAATTTCACTACAGTTTTATTTAGATAATAAAACTGTGTCAAATGATGGGACCAAAGAAGACCTCCCAAGTGCTAAATCGCTTCATAAAGAATTACATTATTTAGACGATGAAAAATATGTAAATGAAGCAAATGAACTTAACAATAGTTCATTCAAGGCAACCAAATAATCTGATTTGTCACTTGTGTCACATGTTATGCATGATCGAAATTACCCGATTTATATATGTACGGAACTTGTGGATAACACAATAGTCTTATTTTTTTTCACTTGATTACCAACATTAACTTGGAGTTCTTCATGATGTCTTTCCTTCTTCAACAGTTCTATAGTTGTTTCACCAACAGCAGGTTTTAATGTCTTCAAATTGGATGTATTGGTCTAAATTAAAGTATAATTTAA